AGTGCGTCAGCTCTACGTCCTCTTCCGCTAGCTCTTGTTCATCCAGTACCCGAGGTGTCTTCGTGTTTTTTGGGGCGTAAACTAGGTCACTCCTTTTTTTCCAATCCATGTTTATTTCGATCTCCGGTCGTCCGTTTGCCTAATCTAAGAATTTTGTATATTTTAATTTATTACAATCGTCCAACTTGGATTTTTCACTGACGGTTTTTTTGCGAGATTCCGGAGTACGGTGTTTGCTTCTTTTTTAATGATGGACCTTGAATGGTGTTAATTTGGTTTTAGAATGTGGTACGGAGCATAGTACGCTAAATGTTTTGGAGATTTATTTTTGAATTTCTGATTTCTTTCTTCCCGTAGGTACGTTAAGACAGTTTCTTATTGATCAGTTCGTTCTTGCGACCAACCCTGTAGCTTATGGGTCGTTTACCGGTATTTCATAAGTTCCATTTCTTCCTAAAAGGAATTTGAATCTCAATTGAGAAAATCCGGAGGCTTAGTCCATATAAAACTCTCTAGGGTCCTCGTAATTTGCTATAAAACTCCTGAGGAATTCGAGTACGGGAGTACGTTTTTCGAAATATTACGTGAACAGACATCCGCCGACGGCCAACGTGGAAACACGTCGACCACCACGGGAACGTATTTATTTCGCCTTTTATTATAGTTAACATGGCCACAAAAGTCATTATGTACTAAATCATTCGGTTCATTAGATTTTTACTTATTACCTAAAACTCCCTTCGGAATATCCGGCTCAAGACTTTTTCCTGGTTCCAAGCAGTCTTTGCAGTATTTTCCAGTGTCCGATAGATTTCGATGCATTAAAGGGATTTATACAACTTTCGTCGGCGCAAATATTTGGTCCCTTCCAGAATGGTTGAAAAGCATCGCTTTTGGGAAAACTAGACGCACTTCTTACTATTTCGAAGGCAGTAGGAGAAGCCCGGGGATTGGTGGGTGAAAAAAAATGATCTGTTTTAATTATGTCGTCGCGCTTAATTTTGCCTGCAACTTTTCCGGGGTAACAAGTTCAATATCAGAGTCAGAGCTCAGACTAAGGGGTTGGCTGGATAGTCGATTTAGTACAACGTTAAGATTGACATTTCCGGATTGGGTGGAAGTATTTACATTGGCTGATTTTTCTACTGCTTCGAGTTTTTATTGGAGAAAAAGAAGTTGACATTTTAGTGTATGAGTTGGAAAAAAATGAATAGTTTCGGATTCATATGAGCAACTGCACGTAGAAGCACGAAAGCAATGTCTGAAATTGGGTTGGCTGTATTTACTTATATCTGTCGGTCAACGAGCGTTAGTTTCACGCAACAAGCGTTGCTCGTTGCGTGAACTTAATTTTGTGCTTTTTAAAATGAGCTATTGTAAGCTTTTTTCCTAAAAAAATGACGGCTCGTTTGCTTTATTCGCTCGGAATAAGAAGAAAAATCATAAATTTCAAAACTAAAAAACTTTAAAGAATTTTTAATGGGGTTCGAATCACGACTGAAAGGGTTTTGATATGATAGGTCTTTCAACCCAGTCCGATAATTATTTAAGTTACCTGATTTAAGAAAGCTAAAGCACACACAAACATAAAATTTCTCCCCATTTTCAACGGTCGGAACAAAAGCTTTGGTTACAGATCAACGACTCAAGTTGCTAAAAAAAATAAAGCGACAGGAACCAGTAAAGATGAAATTTTTGAAGGCACAATTCCATTTATTGCTCTAATTTTTGGGTAAGGATGAAGAACAAATAAGCATTCAATCCACATTCTAATATAAATGTCAAAAATTTGGTTAGTTTTGGTGGTATTCTTTTTAAAGCTAACTATGTTTTAAAACAAAAAAATATGTTTTGTTATATCAAGTCAATGATTTGTAATTTAGTATCATTCAATGGCTTAGTGATGCGCTTAAGAAGTTATTTGGATGAAATAATCTAAAAAATAATTTAGAGTCACTTTCTCGAAAAAAGAATTACAAAGCCTATTTTTTCCGAACAAAAATTTGAGTTCGTGCGTTCAGAACTCACGTCGTGAGTCAAAAGTACAATTTTTGAAAATCCTTATTGTAAAAAGCTTTCAACTTTGCGAATTTGATTGGTATTGAAAAGATCAATCTGTAAAGAGCGCTATCCTAGACGTAGTAGGCCCATCAATTAATTTGCCATCTAATGCCTGTCGGACTAAATTTTTCACAAAATCTCCGAAACATGTGATAGCATACTTTTTTTGCAGAAAATTTTTTGATGCCCTTAAATTTTGACAAATTGAATTACAAAGCATTCATAAAATTGTCAAAATTTTCTAATTTTTTTGTTTTTGTTAATCAGTTTTTTGTAGGTTTGTTTTCTCCATTTTTTTTGTAAATGTTCAATTTCACCTCTCCTCTGGTCGAACTGGTGGAACTGTGATCAGACCCATTCGACTAAAAAACTTAAAAAAATGTGGTACAAATCATTTGTTTGAAACAATTTATGATTCGAGTCACTAGACTGAAAAAGTTCATGATCAGACTCAATTTCGACCGAGCATGAAATGTTCGACTGGAATTCGAACGCGAAAAAAATATTCGAACCAAGATCGAGCGAAAAAAGCCTCCGACCGAAATTGGGCTGAAAAAAATTGCGACTGAGGCACATTCAATATGTTCCCTGGTCGAGGTCGGGGACTTATGATGCAACCATTGCGACTCAAAATGGGTATTTTGCGACTTTGTGAGACCCAAGTAATTTGTGCGACTTGAAAAAATATATGTTGCGACTTTGCGCAACCGGAAAAAAGTATATTGCGACCATTGCGACTCAAAGTGGGTATGTTGCAAAATTGTGTCTAAAAAAGTTGTTTTGCGGCTATTGCGACTTCAATTTAGAATTGAATTTCTGTTGTTTTAGATAAAATGAACATTGAAGTTCTGATTTTTTGAATTACTTGTAATTTTTGTAGATGTTACAAAAATATTGACCCTTCCGCTGGCTACCTTCATTTGAGAACAGCTTTAAGCCAATTTCTTAGTAGCTTCAAGGTTTGTAAGCATTTCTAGTTTGACCCTGATTTTACTCTAGTTCGAACCTGATTCGACCCTGATTCGACACTAGTACCACCATCAGACTGAAACTCAGTATGATGCTTCGAGTATCAGACCAAAATCAGGTATGTATTTTCGGTCTCGAAAAACTCGCTATTCGACCGACTTCGGTCTGATCACATTTCGACCAGTTCAACTCGAGAGGTATCCTTGTTGAATTGCAAAACCTCCGGGCAAAAATTAACGATTAATATTTCTTATTCGGCGGTTATGGAATTCAAACTTCAAACTAACTTAGCGACGTGTGTTTTTAATATTGTGATGACTGATTAAATGGGCCATTCCAGATGCTTCTGTGTTTGGCATAACTGCCCCAGAAAGAATGCAGAAAAATTATTGTTTTCAGCTTTCAAAACAACTGTTTTTCGGACACCGTGAACTATCCGCAACGTTATTAGTTTAGTTATTAAGCCGCTCATATTCAGAATTCAACGCATTGCATGCTGACTTTGCAAATATTTGGCATTAACTTTTATGGGAGGGTTTGTTTATGGAGGGAGGGAAGGGGAATTGTTTATATGGTTCCTTTTACTATGTCAATTTCTTTTATGACAATCAACCTAATTAACCTCAGAGCGAGAGCAAGGGTTGGAGTTTCTGGCTTAACATTTAAGTTGGGTTAATTTTGTTTGATCTATGGTATAATTTAGACCATTATATGTCACTTTTTGACATATCTGCAAAAGGTCGCATTACAACTTAAATTATAATGATCTTTTTGAAGAACGTTAAACTTTTCGGTTCGTCAAAAATTGCTTAACTTTCTTTCAACTAAATTTATACGTTCTCCGCCTTTTATTATTTCATTCAAACGGTAATTTTACCAATTGTCAGTTATACTTTGCTGTTTTTTTTTAATTAGTTTTTATTAATTAAAAAAAAGGTTTGATTTATTGAGATTAAAAAGATCCGATAAATCCCATTTCACAAAAAATGATTAGAAAAACTTCCAGAAGTTTACCCCAAAAACGGATCATTTTCGCTCTTTCAAAGTTAGTTTCGTTTGTCGTTTTTTCAATCTATAACATCATTTTTTTAAACAATTTTTCATACATTTTTCGCTCGTTGTATAAGTTTATATGCTTCCTAAGCTTTTCGGTTTAGATAAGAGACTCACTTGATTTAATTTGCATTGCAATGGACCCGATAGTTTTGACGTAATTTTTTTATTAATTAAACGAGCAAAAAGTGATTCGTTTTTGGAATAAAATGTTGGGCCTCAATTTTGCAAAAACAACAATAATACACCATAATTTGTAGTCAAATCTTTTAATCATCATTACTGTTTTTGTCTGGTCGCAAACCAATTTGAAGTTCCTAAATTTGTTTGTTTGTCCGAATAATCAAAATCAGCACAAGGAAGTGGAAACAAGTGAATGTTTGCTTAAAACATAATTGAATTGTTAATTTTCGCACCAACTTGCCCGAAAAACAGCAGAAGCTTAAGAAAAGAACCCGGAACTGATGTTTGTGATTACAAACGCTTTCCACGAAAAATTTGGTACCATAAACAATAATCAGACTGGGTTGAAGGATATATTATATTAGAGCCCTTTCAGTCCTGATTCAAACCGCATTGAAAAATTTACAAATCTTTGTACGGTGTCCACGGTGTCGAGAAAAACCATTTTGATATTTTTGATTCTTCGTCTAATTTCGAGCGAGTGAGCAGGCTTACATTAGCTTATTTATGCTTAATTTAAGCCTTGAAATTTTTAGATTCGTGTAAGTAAAGTTAGTTATTGAGGTTTTTAGCGCCCTATTAGGTACCAAAAAGATCAAAAAATTTCAGAAACAAAATTTGAAATTTTTTTTTACCATTAATTGTTTTCGTTTTTGTAGTAATTTTCCTACAAAAACTGTTTGTTCAAGTTACCTGTTTTACTAAGACAGTCAAATATGCCTAAGTTCTAGTTTTTCTTTCACCACGCAGAAAAAAAATGACACTAATTTGAAAACAAAACTTTTTTCGTCTGTCTAAGAATATGGTCGGAGCATTCTGGGCTACTTACACAGTAACGGGCTATCCTCTTTTTTTTGGTTTCAAATATATCTACGCCAAATAAGGCAAGAAGGAGCCTCGGAGATCAGAAAACTGCGTCCAGATAAAATGTAATTATTACTTTCAGAGAAGGGTCCGTTAGAGAGAAGGGTCCGTTAAAGAGGACGACAGATGTTAAAACAACAAAAGACTTTCTGTTACTTGAAAAAATTAGTAATGAATAGCTAGAACCTTGAATTTCTACAATTTTTTTGTTTTCAACTGAGAGCATTTAATCATATGAATTAATTTTTCTGCAAACTGGATTTTTTTACCAACAATTTTCTCAGAGCTTCACATGCTTCAACATTAAATAAATTTATACCATTTATTACAATGAAAAAAATAATTATCTCAATAGCTCGTCGTCTTATTTACCTTGCACCATAGAGGAGGAGGACTTACCAAAAAACGCCAAAATTATTTAACATTAGTCGGAATTAACATTAGTCGGGCTAATACGTGTTCAGACAATTGATTTGTCCAGACAACTGGGGAGAAAAAGAAATTTGGTGACTGAGGCAACTTATAATGCAGTTGGGCTAATGCGTGTTGCGAGTAGATTAAGCGGCAAACACTGATTTACCCGCATTGATCATCTCATGTCACAAAAAAAATCGATTTCGACTACCTAAAAAAAAGACTTATGGGGCTGAAGTCAGGTATCATATGCAGACTTTTCAGATGCAATTCTGTTTTAAATCAAACTCAAAACAAATTCTCAATGTCGAGAAAAAGTGGTCTGATTTTTTTTCGTTTTTCATACCAATGGCTTTCAGACTAATGAAGTTCCAATCAATTAAATTTTTTTTTGAGATCTTCATTATTTTATATATAATTAAGTGGTTATTATGGCTCATCGAAGAATCCAGCCCCCCCCCCCCTCATGTCTCTCTTCATTAGTTATAAAAATCAAAAAAAAACTTGATCAAAATTATTTTGGATTTTTTTCTATATTATGCTATAAGAATTTGCACGGCCGGATTATTTGGAATGAGAATCGAATTCGAATAAAAAAGATTTGCGCATTGAATTATAACTGAAACTTGTTATAAAAAATGCGAATTCTTTCGTATAAAATCGGAGTTCTAAGGCGACAATTATGTTTCTTATAGGGTGAACTGAAGTGCTTTTGTATTTCTTGTTTAGCATACTTTCTACATTTTCAAAACAGCAATCGAATATGAACTTGAAAACGGATCTGGAGCCAGGTGATAGTTGCGATCCAAATGAATTCTACTCGCGTGACACATCTTCCAACTTCGACAAAATCGTCATCATTGCCTGTGTGTTCACGTTTATTCACGCGCCTTTTCTTATCGTGATGCCATTTTGCAATGAGCGTCTGAAAATGAACTCGCGCAAGATTATTGCGATGATCGGTGACGGGCCTTGAATTACATACTACTGACTGATTGCGCACTCTGCGTGCACCAGTAATAATTGTTAATCAATTGTTAGAGTCAATCAATTTTTCAGCTACTTTTCGCACTAATAAATACAGTCACGTGACATAGAAAATGCAAATTTTTGATTTCAATGAGCAAATGAATGATTTTCTTCTTCACTTTTTTGACGTTTTCTCTGCATCTATCTAGAGTAACTTCTTCATTTTTTTTGTATTGCGCCACAAAGAGAAAATCAAGCTCATCAGCTCCTCAAAAAAACAATTTGAGCCCAAAAACTCAATTTCCTTGTGTTGTTTGCGAGGGTTTTTTCACAGCAAGAACACGTCTCAAGCTACTTATGATATATTGGCGATTTTACGCCTTCAAAACAAGATTTCAAATTTTGAATGGATTAAGTCCTTTCAAATAGTTTCATCTAGCGTTTGTCACAATTTCTACCCTATGTTTAAAAACTCGGTTGTTCGAGGCCCACCATGATCCGTGCTCATTGCTTGAGGGTGAAGCAACATTACCCAGTCCAGAAAAATAACCAAAAATTGCATATAACTCTTAAGCAGGGCACAACAGCGGTTCTCTGTGGAGAGCTGAACAGCTCGTATGTTGGTCCTTCCTCTTGCGGCTAAACAGTCTTAAAGGAAACAGATGCAGAGAAAACGTCAAAAAGGCAAAAAACACCGTTCAATTGCTTTTTGAAACCAAAGATTTGCAAATTTTTTGTCCTGAGATTGTCCTGAGATTTTCGGATTTGCCCTCTGGTTGTACTAATTTTTTTCATACAAATACAAAGACCAATAAAACTGCAATCTCAAGTTCAACGATTCAGAAATTGTCGTAGCAGCTAATTTGAAGCAAAAAAAAACGGATGAGAGTAAAGAAACTTATAGCAAAGGTGTGGATTTTTTGAGGGGGTTGCAAGCAGTAGCGGATTTATGTGGGAGGGGGCGGGATGATGCTCGGGTGGGGGGGGGGGCATTTTATATCAATTTTGAGGGGGGAGCGCGCGACGAAAAAACGCGATTTTTCGCTCGAAATTTTCCAAAAAAAGCCTACAACCCCTTTTTTGGGCTTTTTTTCAAAAATTTGCCTCCGGCGCAGAAAATTTGGTCAAATTAGGGTCTTTATAGTAGTTTGGGAGAGCTCAGAAAATCAATTTGGTCGACCTAAAACTCCTAGATCCGCGCCTGGTTGCAAGGGAAGATTTTTTTTGGGGGGATCCCAACCCTGACCAATCAGAGGATCCCCTTGTGATATTTTACGAGACATCAATTTTTGGCCGCAAAAATTCCAAAATTGAGGCTTATCACCTGATACCTAAATAGCCCAAATAAAGAGAGTCAAGTATACCATCCTTCAAAAACTCTTGCAGCCTTTTGACTAATACCAAGAATCAAAAACAATAACTTTGACTTTTTTGAGTCTGCTTAACTCTCATCGATTAAATATTTGAATAAGCACACTTTGAATCAGAGGTAATTTTTGAGGCGTCACCTGCCTGTTATGATAGTTATGTCGGATGTCGCGTCCGAGTTGCTCAAGTGCTGGGTGGCTTTGTTCGGTTTCCCCGACAACGAGAGGTCCTGCTACTGGGTCACTCAGATGCACTTAGTCACTAGAAATTGGTCTCAACTATGGTAGGTTCCATTGATTAATTCCATTGATAAATTATAAAGTTTGTACTGCTTCTTTTGTAGATATCTAAGTCAATGCCCCTAAATATGAAATTTAATGCTTTTTGTTTTTGTTTTCTTTGTTTGTTTTTTTAAACGAAAATGAATATGATCGGAACCGGCCATAGCCGCTCTCTGTTCCTGTTTATCTCATTTATGTTTACTTCAGGTCTCTCTGTCTCATAATCTGTGTTTATTTGACAATCAAGCCTCGATTCGGATTGAATGGCAGCTCTAAGTTTTTCTTAGTTGCCAGCCACTGCATAATTTGGCCCTATGGCTTCCTCCTTGATTTCATTACTGCCGGTCACCCTCCATATGCAATTAAATATTACGCATCAGGAGGTTCTGTTATCGAAGGATGCCGAGGAAACTTCTCTTTCGAAGTTTCCAAAGACGAAGAAGACTGTCTGATGGTCGGCACAGGAAAAGTTTGGATCAATTTATTTTTTAGCTTCCCTAATTGAATGCGATCAGAGGAGTTTTTTTGCTATTGTATCTTTGAGCGCGGGGGGTGTCAAAAAAGCAAAATTTTGATCAGAAATTGCAAAGCGTGCCTGCAGAGCGCGCTTTTTAGAGAGATCCAAAGTCAGCCTGTTAGACCTAAAAAAAATTGCATCGAAAAAATCAAATCTAAATTGGTCCAAAGGAATTGTACAAAATACAAACTGCCAACATTATTCTAATTATGATTCTAACAATCATCTTCTTCGCGTTGTCAATGAAAGCTGCTTATGAAAGCTACCAAACCTGCAGGAGCAAATGTAGGGAAAATATGCGAGCTTCGGTCAACGTTATTTTCGACATCTCGGCTGAGTTCAGTTTGAAAATTATACAGACAACGACCAAGCTATCGCTGACCGCTTTGATTTACATCATTGCCATTTTGCCCCTCTTGTGTCTTAACTTCTTTCAATTTAAACACGGAAACATTAATAACAGCGCTGTTCGCCAATTTTTTAACCTTTATCCGTATTTGTGCACTTCGCTGATTGGAATGATGAACATCATATCGTATGGATACATGAGTTCGGTGTTCCGCAGAGAAACGACGAATATTTTCAAACGAATGGTCAGAATGAGGATCTTCAGAAGCAGTACTGATGACGAGCAGTCGCCAGTCATAAGCACGCGCAGTGAGACAATGGGACTCTCAACAAACACTTTTTTAGACGACAAACAAATATTTGAGCACGCCGCTTTCACATCCCTTGTAATGACTGGATAAAAACTCCATCCAACGATTAGTACAACAACAACAATTACAACAACTCCATACAACAATTATGATAAAAAACCTTTCCGACCACTGAAGTTGGAGAAAGCTGTCATGGGGCAAAAACATTCAGCCTCTTTTTGATATCACGTGCAAACCAGCATGCAGTGCTGAATCATGTAAGCTTGAAACAACGAACAAAAAAGTTTTCAAACATAACTTTTCTCAAATTGGGTAAAATTAGACAAAAAGTGAAGAGACAAAACTTGTTTAGAATTTCACGAGAATAAATAGGGTGCATTTTTTCTCCGAAATTCTCAATCAGAATTTTACCCCAAAAATAGGTCATTTTGATTTTTTAGTTTAATTAAGCTGAAACTACCGAGTTGCTTGATAAAAAATTATATGAAACTCAGCCCAACAATTTTCTAGAGGGGTTAAATTCCCTTCTACAAACTTTTACCCTTTTAAAACTTGTTAAACTGTGTAAGAAGCTATTTTTAATATATTTTTCTCATCAATTAACCTAATAGTTTCAGAGTAATTCTTGAATAATGAGAAAAACCCAAAATGACCCAATTTTGGGGTAAAATTTTGGTTGAGAGTTTTGGAGAAACTTTACACGAATTATTTCTAGAGCAATTAAGCTGTTTTGTCTCCTCACTTTTTGTTTTTACCCGATTTGATAAAATTTTTTTTGAAGTCTCTTATTTTGTCATATTTGACTGGATAATTCAAATCAGCACTGTATATCTACGCAACAGAAAATGTGTCCTAAATTTTTTTGAGATTGTCTGTTTTTTTTTGCAAATTCGAAATATCAGCTATTTTTTTTTCAAATTTAACTAATAAGGAAATCCTAGCAGATCCATATACAGTACTACAGCATTAGGATGTTTTGGTGGCTAATACATTTTGAAAATTCTTACATGTGTGTTTTCATTAGGCTTTAGTTAGATTTTTTGAATATGCAATTTGAAGCACAATCTGTTATCGAGAAAGAGGCCTAGATAATTGTAAGGCGTTTCTATCACTGTTTTTGTCCAAACTGTAGACTTGATGTTTTATCCTTCTTAACTCCGAGTTAACTCTTTCTCAATCATCCAAGTCTTAACAATATCGAAGTCACTTGCTTTCGCATCAAATTATACGGATGATTGTTTTTGAGGTTAGACAAATATTCGACAGATCCTTTAAATAGGTTTCAACGAGAAGGAACCCAAAACAAACCCTTGTGGACTTACAAATACATTTCGAGCTCGATACTGTTTTCCCTACAACTGAATTTTACGATAAGACTTTGAGAATTGATGAAACCAATTTTTTTCTGCATTTCTCGTTTATCCATAAATTTTACATTTTTCAAGCAGAGTCCCATGGTCAACGCTGTCAAAAGCTTTGTTGCTTAAAAACGATTTGATACATAAAATTCTTCAGTCATTTTTTCAGCTGTTGTCAGCTAAGGTTTTACACTTTTGTGAAAAGTTAATGGTCTAATATTGTTTCACTATAAATTTGGTCCATTTTTATCCATTTAACCAACCTTTTTTTAGCTGAAGTTTGCCGATAGACATTTATTGGTTCAGTAGAATAGAAATTGCGCAGCAAATGACTGGATTCATTTTTCCACGAGAAACCTACTTTGTTTGTAAGCGTCTTGAGCTTGTTGATTATCAATTTACTAAATCACTCGCAATTGTTCCTTCCACGTACATCGAGTTTTCATTTTCGGTGTTTGGAAAAAATTATGCAATCAGTTTTTGCTGACCTAGTATTCAAATTTACAAGAGCTATTTTATGTTCAGCGGCTTTTTTCATATTCATTTTTCTGTGCAAAATTATCCCAGAAACATTAGTTTGCCTTTATCGCGAAAAAAAACTTTTTTATCGGCGTGATTATTTTTTTCCGTAAACTATTCAAGTTTTTGTTGATCTGACTAGATGTATTTGCGAAGTAATTGAAAAGTATTCTTTCAAAATTATTTTATCTGAGCAATGATCCGATACATTGAGGGTTTCTACATTTTTTTTCAGAAAAGAGCAAAAAAAAATCGAGATAAGTCGAAATTGCTTCATAGTCTCGGATTATTTTAAGATCACTTACCTTTCTTGATCAAATGTAAAAAGTGTGTCATGCAGACTGAACACTGTGATGGTATTTGGTTTCAATTGTTTCCCTTTGTAGATTATCAAACTTAATTCCTCCAAGCAGCTTTACCTCTGAGATTTTGAACAGAAGCTTGGCCAGCTTGGCCACAAATCTATTAGTCATCTTAAAAGCGTGATCCTTTACCAACTATAGCAAACTTTTTTTGACGTCCTCAATGATGGCAATTTCGTGCTCAACAACCATACGAGCTCAAAAAAAGGTATGGGAAGCAGTAAATTGCAAAATAAAAATTTCTAATGTACAATCAAACTTTTCTTAGATTTTCTTATCGTCCTATCGAAAACTCAAAGAAAAAATGCTGAAGAAAAAAAGAACTAGTTTTTGTTCTATGAGATTTAACTAATCTTGTAGAAGCGAGGTGTCTGAGAAGAAAACATAAAGCAGGAACAAGCAAAATCTGATTTCTAGAAGCCATAAATGGCTTTTTTTAAGAACGCTGCTGCTTTTTGTTGCCTTTATTTGAAAATCAGCTGTATTTCTAATTATACAAAAAGTCAAAAAAACTCAGACAGCAGAAAAAAGCAGACGATGAAATGTAGTGAAACCAATGCGAGAAGGTGAAAATTGCTCCTGGATAGATCAGTTTTTTGGCCGTACTGCAAAACCATAAAGCATAACAAAAAAGCATTTTGCCCAGTTGACATTTCAAAAACGTGTAAAGTTGGATCAAATTAAAGAAACAAAAAAAAACCATTTTTTCTATAGAATTCAAAAACTTTGGCTGTTTATACAATTCATTATAAACTATATACTATTTGCTGACAGATAAGAAAATTATAGAGTTTATATTCTCAGTTTTTTTCTTATTTTTTCACTTTGTCATTGCTTGAATCTTTTGATCAGGTGACAAACTTTTGTAGCGACGACTGATATGCTCTTCATCTCTTAACGCCACAGCAGACAATTCAAACTTTGCAAACTTTTTGTGTTCTCTAATGACACGCATATTAGAATTCTACCACTTTTATTGCTTTCATTTATCACTTGGCATTTGTTCGAGATTTTCGTTTTTTCTAGATTTGCTATTTTGTTTCTATAAATTACTTTTAGCTTCGGCATTTTTTTTTTTGCTAATGTGAGTCGTCAGATGAAAAAAAACAGAAAAAAAAACGTAAGTTTCAAAGGAAACTTCACATAACCTGGCTAAAACTCAAACCATATTTTTGTGATCCTATTGACGTTCAATTCCACCTTTAATTTTTCAATAATTCTCATCAAAAAATTGCCCTCTTGCGAGCATCCATTTAGCGCATTTCGATAATCAGCCATTTTCTTCATTGACTCATTCCCTAAGAATTTTGTTCATAACATGCTCAACACTTTGTAGATCTCTGAATACTTTTTCCATGTCAGTATTACCGGTTAACACTTCTTTGACATCAAAATCCTGGATAGCATTGCGAGTTAAAACATTAATCATTTTCACCAAGAATACTACCTTTTCCATTTTGACGTTAAAAAAAATTGAAAAGTATAACAAAATAATTGAAAATGAGCAACGCTAGAATATTTGGCGCAATTCGCCTTTAAATTCATGTCGGTGTGATAAATAGGCACCTTGGTGCTAAAACTGGGGCGTACAAAACCAAAGGATTAGCAATCAAAAAGTTTCTCAATCAAAATCTTATGTTTTTTTTTCGCCTCATATCTTCTTGATTTTCAATTCGTTGGCTTTTTGGATTCCGCTGCGTTTCATGTTTTTTTCTACACCTGCTTATGGTACCAGGCTTGCCTGAAAAATGGACAAATGATTAACTCAGAGGAGAAACGGAGCTTTGCATTACTTATAAAACAAAAAAAGTCGAAAAAAAATTGAAATAAAAACTAGTTACACCATAAGTTTCATGCCTCGTTAAAAGACCACTAGGTACCAGGCTATAACTAGAAGCAGGCGCTTTGTTGCTTTTGATTTTTTATATGGTACAATTTTGGTTTATAATCATATTTGGTAGAATAATTATTGAGAAAATTTCAGAAAAAACTAGCACCAAACATAAAGTTTGACATTTCCGAGAATTATAGCTTTGTGCATTGGAATATTGGACGTAGCCGCCTACGCAACTTCTAAGAAATTTAAGCAATTCTAGTTTTGATAGAACCAAAAAATTCAGATAAGGAAGAGTAGTTTTCGAACCGACAAATATTGTGCAGATAAAGGAAAGTCTGACAAATCAATTTTTACCGGAAAACTTTGAAAGCAAATAATAAAGCAAGAAACGTTGCGTACAGAAAAAAATAAGTTCCCGATTACACTACACTTGCTAGTGTAAGTGTAATAAAAATATTCTATACGATCTGGTTCTAGTTGAAACCAAACGTTTGATCAACTCTTTGTTTTGACCGCGTTATTTCGCCAATTTATCATAACTCGTTAGAGATTTGTTAATGGGTTTGAAACATCCTCAATTTGAACTCAAAAAATTTTGGGGATCTAATGAGCTAGATCTTTGCGTTAAAAAGCCAAGATAAAAAAGCCAGGCGTCAAAAAGTAACGAAAATGTTTTGGAAGGTTAAGTTGTTGCAGTATCTTATAAACTTATGCCAGCCTGAATGAAACAAACTTTGAATCAACATAATTTCTATCGTAACCCAATGCATCAGCCGGCTGGACATATCTTCGAAAAGTTCGCCAAAAAAGGCTTCTGGCCTATTTTAGTAGTCAGCAACGAAATAATCCACCAACTTTTAAATATCGTCGGCTCTAGTAACTTTTCAGCTTTCAGCCTGTTGTTTGTGCGCTATAAAAGAAGAAAGCTCTATTAAACAAGGAATTTCATAACTTTTCTTGAATAACCATTTGGATTTTATAAATTCAAAACCTTTTTGTTACTTCCAAGGATGTTTCAACAAGGAAAACGCCTCTCTAAAGAGTTATTTGACGACCTGCTAAATGCGCCTGCGAAACAAGATTCTTCAAGTCTCGATTGAAAACACTTTTTTTCAGATATTTACAATTTTCACTGTAGTCATCTTTCAAGATTTTGTAGATATGAAATATTTAAGAAACCCTACTTACGTTCGTTCAGTTGTTGGGTTGACATTAAAAAAATAGAACTTACTTGTTCCGTGACTGTTCTTTGG